TGCTTTTAAACCTTGTCACACATGCTTGAGGAGGCTATCTGGGTTCTTCCAGGAATGAGTCCCTGCTGGCACCTTGGCACTAACCTGCTTAGGTTTGCACATCTTGATGTCCACACAGGTATCACGGGGTGTTTTGCCAGCCATGATATCATTAGAGACGATACGAAGAACGGTCTTCATGATCTTCTTGCAAATGCTACTCAGCAACTTCACCTTGCCACACACCCGGGATGCAGCCTCGGAGATGCTGTCCTGCAGTGGCCGCACCATGGAGGGACATAGGAATCCAGTCAGCCCTGCCCCGCTCTGCCACCCTGCAGGCCCCAGCAGCTCTTGGCCCTGGGAAGCTCTGGCAATGGGAGTGCTGGGTGCAAAACGCTGGTGCCAGTGGCCATAGAGCAGTGAATGGAGAGACAGGACCCACCCCCACTCCCAGTCCCCAAGGGATTCTTGAGAGGACAGTTGGTCCTGCCAGGGTCTCAGCCTCCTGAACACCTGCCCCTGTCTTCTGTGTGGAGAACGATGCCCATGGCTTCCAGACCCACATTAAAGGCTCTGCCTAAATAGCTTCCTGGGTCCAGGGCCTGGCTTGGTGGGTTCCCCACCTACAGGAGGTGTGTGGGAAAGTTAGGAGGGGATCAGAGCTTGGAGCATTGACACATTCGATTTTAAAATATCTTCTACTGCCATCGCAGTGGGCAAGAATAAATCTGAGTGCCCAGGGCTAAAGATGGGCCCTATAGTGCCAAGATGCTGAGCAGGTTGGGGGATAAAAGGAGAGGGAGGGAGAGAGGGCGAGTGAAACAACAGTTCTTGGTAGTGACATATCCACTTGTTAAGCATTTACTCAGTGCCTGACACGGACGTGAGCACATCCCACTTTAGCACTCCTTTAAAAGGCCTAGGTAACTTGCCACATAGAAACCATTCTTCATCCCATTCCACAGACAAGAAAACTGAGGCTCAGAACACATTAATGGCTTATCAGGCCATGTAGCTGAGAAATGGCAGGTCTAGAATGTACCGGTACTTACTCAGGCCCCCTGGAACCAGCCTCTCAAAGCTTTGCCCTGAGAATTAGGCAGGAACCATGCACAACCTTCCTCCCACTCTCACACTCCCAGAGTATCACAATTTCCCAGGATTCTCGGAAGTCCATCCACACATACAAGAGCGGGCCCACAGACCCCCTGATTAGAAGCTCTGACCCAACAGGGATCAGCCGGCCCCCAGGGTCCCCCACTGGGGCGGCTGTGCTGGGTGCCCCAGGCCACCCACTCCATTGACCAGTAGGCCAAAGGGTCTATGGCCTCACCTTGTCAGGCTGGTCTCCCACCATTTCCACTAGCTTCTGGATTATTTTCTGACAGGCCCCACAGGCGATGCCCAGCCTCGCTCTTCTGGGCGGCAGGTCACCCTGTCAGGAAAAGAAGCCCCTTGAGGCGGTCTCTCAAACACCCCAAGCACCCTTACAAGGGCCCCAGGAAGGAGCCTTTGGATGCTTCCAAGGCCGGCAGGATCATCTATGATTCTCTCCGTCCTTCACGGCCGGAACTAGACTGGCTGGTCCCTGCCCACC